AATTTTTGTAAAGGAAATTTTTGTAAAGGAAATATGTGGAAATTTATATATGTATTAACTACATACCAATAGTGACTATTTCTATTTGTAGTTAAATTTTGATTTTAAAAAATTATAGCTACATGGTGGGTACTTTCAAATTAGTGAGATTCACATTGTGCCAATTTGCAATGGTACATTTGAAAAAAAAATTATATTCTTTATTAATTAATATGTGGAATTGGTGATATTATCAGAGTTGCCAGTGAAGAATGATAACTTATTTAATCTAGTATTATATTATAGAGATAAAAATTAGATTACACAAATTTTTTTCTTTTTGAATGACATGACAAGTTTTACTGAACATTGAGTTATCAAGAGAAAAGTTTCCAGGACTCTACTGCATCAGTAATTTTGTAAAAATATTATTTATATATTTTTTGCATCCATGAAATAAAAGGCAAATTTTATGTAGAAAAATTTTCAAAAACATTACTCTCTTAACATTACTATATAACAAAATCAGAACAAAAAAAACCTAAAAAGTTTTGATTTAAAAAGAATATTGAATATTTAATATAAATATTTAATCTTTGCAAGTTTTATTCTATAATAATTAAAAGACATGCATGTATTCCTAATATCAGTTTTTTTTGTTTCATCTTTTTTATATATTTATAAAAATCTGCTCATGTCTGGAGAAGAGAGTCTTCAGTGACCTACATCACATAAAAGTCAGCTTCTTCATAAAAGAGGTTTTATTTTTTTTTATATTAAATTAATTATTGGTATAGATTCTTATGTATTATATCTTCACATTTTGGCACAGAATTAAAATGTAGGTTAAAAGATTGCAGAATCATAAAAAATTAAGGCATCATTAGTGATTAAATATTTATAATAATAAACATTACAAAAGATATCTAACAGCACACATTCATTATTTTTTCTAAAATATAATTTATTTTAGAATAAACCAATTAGAATATAAACAAAAGTTGAATTTTAAGTATTTCAAACAGGATAAGAAAATATGACTTCCTAAAATAGCTTTAGTAGCAGAGCCATTGTGACAAAAAATACTATCAATCAAGCTATCTACAATTTAATATAATTAAAGAGAGAAAATACCAGTCTTTAGAAGTCACACTAAAATAATATTAAAAAGAATCAGAGAAAAAAGGAATTTTAAAGTTTTATGAAAAAGTATAAAGTATTACTAAAAAACTGCATCTCTTGAGTTTTGAAACAGTGAAAAATTTGTAATGTATTAACCTATCCCATGTTAAAATTTTTCTCCAATGTGTGTTGCTTCAACGTTGAATTTTTGGTCGATGTTAAGCCTAATGAAAATTACACGTTTTAGAAAATAATAATAATAATAATGTCCTTGTATCATCCAAAATAATCGTTTTTATTTTGCACAAACAAAATAGACATATTAAAAAATGTAAAAACAGAAAAAGTTATATTTTGGAAGTTAGTTTTAATATAAAAATTATGACAACTAGTGACATCGTGTCAAAAACATTCCGATGCAGAAACAAGATATTTTGGGTCCACCATTCTGGGTCTTTATGTTTCAGTTTGAAATATCTCAATAATACCACAAAACAGGTTAAGACCATTCATTAAGAAAGATAATGTGTTCATATAACTATTACATGTGTTTCAATGAAAGATAAACTTTCAAAGTTTTATCTGATGAACAATTAGTTTCTTCTGTTGATCTTCTCAGAAGTTAAAGATCAACCAAAACACCTTTAGATCAGTAAAAAGCTTTAGAAATTTAAATATCTTAGAATGCAATCAATGTGTCAATTTCCATTCCATAAAAAGAATGACTGAAGATACTTTTAATCTACAATAAACAAAAAAAACGTCTTTTTTTAAATACAGTGTGTCCAAGAAAGATCTTAATAACAAAAATACTAACAGGGGAAATGAAATGCAGTTTGCGGCAAAAGAATGAAGAAATCTAAGAGTTTTTTACAGTACCTTCAATGTAGCTGTACGTGAGCTCCGTTAGTAGCACGAATAATGTCGGGTCTGTACTCAATTTCTCTCCAAGTGTTTTTTAACATTTGCGGTGTAACAGTGAGGATTGCTAATTGTATCCTTTCCTTTAAAATGGATATATCAGAAACAGGTGTTTGATAAACCCTGTCTTTAACATAATCCGAAAAAAAGAAATCCAGTGGAGTTATGTTGGGCGATCATGGAGGCCAAGGTATGGCTCCTCCATGACCAATCCATCTTTCAGGAAACACTACTTCAGGCAATTGATACCAGAAAAAACTCTTAGGTTTCTTCATTCTTTTGCAGCAGACTGCATTTCATTTCACTTGTATTTTTGTTATTAATGTTTAGAATGATAAAGATCTTTCTCGGACACGCTATATATATATACATTTATATTTTGTAGTATTTATATATCTTAGTACTTCAGCTTTAGAGACTTTTTAGTATAAAACAATCTTCCTTAGTACTTTCAAACCTTAATTTCAATATTAAAATATGCATATATTTTGCTATTGTTAACATTTAAAGGTAGACAATTGAATTTGAAAACATAACTATGCATTTACAAAATATTCCAATAAGAAAAGTTTAGTTTCTTATATTCCAATATAAAGTTTTTATTGAATTATCAAAAATTTAAGTATATGTTTTAAAATTTAATCAGAATTTTAATGTAATAATCTTACAATAAAAAAAAATTTAATATGGACATTCACACACACATGCATACAAATAAAAATACTGGCACACTTACACACATATATTGTGTAAATGTGCCTAATACATACATATGAAGTGCATTTATACTCTCATATTTAATATATATCATATTCTGAAACACAACATTTCACACAGAACTATGATGACTAGGTTATTATAATCTATAATTTAACATTTAATATAAATTTGCAGCTATTCAATAAATTACTTTATTTCTAAAATAGGAAATATTAATACACAAAATATTTGCAATGTGTATAAAAATTAAGAATTTACTATAGCTTACAAGCTACAAAACTCTTTTTTAATTCATAAGATAAACCAAGAGAAAGTGAGTCCTTCAGAAAAAGATTTAAGCACAAAGAAATTCATAATGAAATATTTAACTGAAATGATTTTAACATATTTAAAATTCTGAACCAAAAACCTGGTAAAAGAAACAAAGATGTAATTGAATTATTATAGTTTAAGTCTATCTCATTTGACATATATAAGTCTATCTCATTGAACATATATATGACAAAGCAAATTGACATCAGAAATTAAATATTTTTATAACAATAAAGTAAATCAGAAAACTAACAGAAATAGAATTTGATTATTAAAAAACAAAACATATTTCATGTATCATTTTTCCTACAAGTTCTCAGTTAAACACCTCCTGCAATTCATGCAAAACAGATGCAAAGAAACAAATTTATGACAATTACATATATTTAAAATCTAAAAAACTAACTTGCTAATAATAAAATACTTTTTACTTCTCCAGGATGTTTTTGCTTATGATTTTAATCTTGAGATTTGCTCTTCATGTTTATGATTTTAATCTTTAGATTAAAATCAAACATCAGGAGCAAATTAAAAATGATTAAAATTGTAACTATGAATCTATTTTTTACTGAAAATCAAACTTACTTTTTAATAATGTTGCATCAGTAATTTTGATTTTGCATCTGATAATAATTTGTAACATCAAATTCTATTTATTTGTTATATTGTGGATATACTTATCAAAATGAAGACCAATTTTTGATGTTTAAGTTTATGAAAAATTTAATATAATATATATGTATAAAAATTTTAATCAAGGAATTATTATTTTTTTAATTTACACTACAATCTGATGTTATCTTCTAATATATATTTTTTACATACAATTTTTGAAAATTATTTAATATTTATATTTAGATAATTAAAAATATATTTCATATGTTTTAAATAAATATTCACATTCATGTACAAATGAACACACACACCACATACACACACAAACTTAACTACTTTAAATGTTAAATATATATTTTTTTTTTGTTTAGAACTGTATGAGAATGGTCAACTATATTAAATAAATGACAAGATTGTATGCATTATTTTTATTTAATATGAATAAACAAGATGAAATTAATGTTTAAAATACTTGCATGCAAATGCATCATGTTTAACTTTATCCTTAGATAAGTAATAGGTTCTTGTACAAAACAATTGCAAAGCCAGACTTCTGCATCTCATCAATGTCAAATAAAATTAAAGAATGTTTACTTACAAGAATAGTATCCTTACAGTTGCAAAGTCAGCTCCAACAATCTGTCCTCTTTGAAGTTAGATTTGTTTCTTCTCATCAATGGATAAATATTCTATTTTCCAACTTTTATTTCATAATTTTTTCAATAAAAAATAGTCAGTACTAATAATAGAATAAACTAATATGTTTAATTTTGTGCCAACATTATGTCAATGAAAATATACAATAAAATTTACTTATAAGGAAAGTGTCATAAAAAATAAATTTGCATAGCATAAATATATTAAGCTTTATAATTATTGAAAATAGATATAACCATTTATAACATCAACTTTCAACTGAAAATCATTCTTTGATTATTGATGTAATCATTACTTGGTTTTATATTTTCACACATCAAAACATTTAGATGAAACAAAATATTTCATCTATAAAAATATAATAATGACCAATAGTACATCAATTCCCTTAAAAATATTCATATCTAAAATAAAATATTAATAAAAATTTTGATTGATTTATAAGCATAAAATTAAATATACTTGTAGAAACATTCTGAAATAATGAAAATTATTATTAATTGCAGAAAAACTTCTGGAAAAAAAATGTATAAGTGTAGAAAAATGCTAGAAAATATTTCATAAATAAATATATATTATAAAGACAAATAAACATTATCTGTAATAAGTATTAAGAAGTCAAAGTATGTAATAAAATCTATTAAAAACCAATGGTAAAGTTTCAAACTTCTTACAAGAAAACGGAACATCACGCATAAGAGTTGGTGCTAAGCCACGCCACAATGATGATAAACCTTGATACTGAACAAGACTTCTAATTGCTTGACCAATTTCTAATATAAAGAAGGTTTATAATAAAAATTTAATAATAAAACAAATGTGCTATCAGTACTATCAATACTTTTTATATTAATAAAAAGCAAATTCTTTTATTTTATTAAAAATAAGATAAAATTCTAAAACCTATGTTATCATTCAACATACACACACACATTAATCTGCAAGTGTTGCCAAAAACTGCTGGTATTATTACTGCCTGACAACTTAAATATTAAAGTGTATAAATGTATAAATAAATCAATTACAGTGGGTGATCGGTTAACGAACATAATCTGTTCCAAGACTGTTCATTATCTGAATTGTTTGTTAACCTTATCAATTTACCATAGGTTTTTATGGAAATTTGATTAATTTGTTCTGGAGACTCCAAAAAGTAAATATATATATATACTTTTTTTACTACATTTATTTATATGTAATAGTAAAAATACATATATATATGCAATCATGTTTTTTCCATTTGTGGGGGTTAAAGAATCTGTCCAATGTCGATTGCTTTTCTCTTTTCTTCAGGATTTTTCAGAAGTAATTAATAGTATTGTAATTGTAGAGATCCCCAATCCCATTAACCTTATTCTGGTTTGAATGCCACTTGGATGATCGTTGTTCTGATATTCTCCCACTTCTTCAAAAGGTCTTTAGTAGCAGATGTCGACATTGATCCTCTTCCGTCTTCCTCTTTTTCAAAAGAAAACACATCTTGCTGAGTTTCTTGGTATTCTTCATTTGAGAGTTCTTGGAGTTCTTCTGTTGTCAGATCAGTTTCAGGTTCCATTATGAGCTCTAAAATGATCTTTATTTCTCAGATGTGATTTTCATTACTCTATTAGCACTTGAAACTTCTTGATATATCTTTCACAGCTAAGATTGTGCCTACTGTAGACCTGTTCAAGCCATACTGCCTAGCAACATTAGACATCTTGTGCCCACTTTCTACCTTGGCTATTATCTCTTACTTGGTTTCTATGGTGAGCACAGTTCTTGACACCCCTCTTTTTAGGCTTCATAATATTATCAGTTTCTTTTCTAAATAAAAAGTTCAGAAAAGCACTTACAAAAATTCAGAGAACAGAAATCAACTAGCCCACAAAAAATTATTTAAATGCAAGACCCAGATGAAATTTGAAATTTGATATATTAAAATGCTAACAAATATCTGATGGGGCAGTTATACCACCATACCTGACTAATCCACTGTTGAAAGGTTAAACTTTCACCTTTTGTAAATAAACCCCAATGCAAAACTTAACAAGTGCCCACCCAACAGTCTCGCGAAGTCTATAAAAAATTATTTGTCAGAAAAGTAAATAAAAAGCTGGAATTACAAGGGAGAATTTCAAAATTCAAAGGAATACTATCTGATCGGTATCAGGTTGAGTGTCAATGTTGATGTCTCCCTCGCTCTGAAAGGTTTTGAATTGTTACCTGAAGATAGGAGAAAATCAATCGGTATTCCTTATTTTCCGTTGCTTCTTTTTATGTTTCTTCAGTAAAGTGTTCGTTACCAAACACGTGTTTGTTATCTGATCATAAAAATCTTTCGTGAAAGTGTTCGTTATCCAATCACCCACTGTATAGTCAGGAATCTACAATCTTGTTTATGAAACCTATACCATGAGGACACCCCATTTTCCACCATTACAAGAGATCAATTTTAGAGATCAGTTGAGTTTTTGGTTATGTGATGCACTGTTGTTGGTTGTAAGAATGCACATATAAAGTTAAAAGAAATGAAAGAATGTAAAATTTATAAGGGAGAAAGACATAAGCCACATGGATTGTGCTTGTTTGATACCCTACAGTTTATTTACTTTTCACAAAAACTTTTTACTCAAAATTGCAGCACAAAGAGTCTCTTTCCTTAAAAAGAATGAAATTTTTATTTATTAATAATATTTATTGTATAATCACTTAATACCACCAGCATTTAAATCTTTATAATTTTATAAAAAAATAAGTTAGTTCGGTGCATTTTACAGATGGGAATTCAATGAAAAAAATCCAACTTTATAAATTTAAAAATACTTTATAAATTTATTTAATAACTAAATTCCTATTTAAAATGAACATTATTGATTTTTAAGGTTAATTTCTCTATTAAAGTACTTTTAGATATTAATAGAAAATTCAAACTGATTTGTTATTCACTTTATAAATTTATAAAGAACTTATAAACAAATAAGTTTAATTTATTGCAATCATTATAATAAATNAAAAAAAAAAAAAAAAAAAAAAAAAAAAAAACATATTAATGAATAAATGTAATAATCTAGAATGTTTATTTTAAGTTATTTTCTTTCAAAACAATTTATGACTAAACATAGATCTTAAATACTAATATGTGATGAAGTCTCGTCTATTCTGAGTGAAAAACAAATGTGAGAATTCACATGGATTTTTATTATTTTAATACTAATTATAAAAAGAAATCATATTATTTTATAAACTAGAAAGAAAATTAGAAACAGAAATTAACAGGAAAAAGAAGAGAAAGAAAGAAAGTTCACTTCCTTTCCAACAAGTTTACTTCCTTCAAAAAAGTAGTCAGTCAACCAATGACTACATGTTTAGATCATTGTCAGATGATCCTTATGCTCAATCTCCATTGGAGGAGAAAATTAGTATAAAATAAAGATAAACGCTAAAATCAGGGCACTTCAGCTCTTCAGCACCTCAGCATGTCTTTGTTTAACTAAGTGCCATAATTGCATAAGTCAAGTTATCACAGAGGTAATATTAAATAATATAATTTGTAAACGCTCTCTCTCATCTTTAGGGACCTAGTTTACGGTTTTATCATTAAAGATTAATCATAGCTAGATGTATTTTAGTTTGTTCATTTGTATTCTTTCTTATTCATTAAAGTTCTTGTTAATTTGTTAATGGGACTTGATTCTACTTTCCTCATGGACTCCTATCACTTACTCATGTGCCTCCCCACTCAAATGAGCCCTCCTAATCAAAATAATAGAAGAATTGCGAGTTAAACCGCAACATAATAGGTTAACTGGTGTCAACATTCTAATGTGGATCTTAATCTATTGATAGATCAGCGGTTCTTAACCTGGGGTGCGAGAGAGCATTTCCAGGAGTACAACAGAAATTTAACATGAGAAATGAGGCAACCATGTTCTCTACAAACCATGGTACCCAGCAACACGGCATCCCACTTCATTCTCTATCATCTCACTTCTACACTCTCTACTCTATGTTTCTCAGCACATAGTGCTTGTCATAAGTCGTCAGTAAATGCAGTTAATGTAGTCACATTGTCACATGCAATACAGAAACTAGTTGAGATGTGTTCGCATATCTTAAATACAGCACTTTTGCACATCAAAACAAAAGCCAGAAATCACTTAAATGCATCTGATGACTTACACGTGGCTTTTTCAAAAAAAAAAAAAAAAAAAAAAGGCCTTGTTTTAATAGAATTATTATGAATAAACAACAACAACCTAGCCATTAAAATTTAAATATTGCTTTTTATGTTATATAGTAATATATATATTGTAAATAAATACGGCATTTATTTATACAATAAATGTTTTTTCTTAGATAAAAAATATATACACATTTTTTTAAGGGAGTGCAAGAGCTTATTTTCAGATTCAAGGAGTGCTGACCACTAAAAAGGTTAAGAACTGCTGATCTATTTCCTTATTACTGCTCATAGTTTAGCCATCCTCTGACGTAGAGATAGGATCTTGCAATCTAGTGCAGGATAAGTGGTCATTGGAATTTACCTGTGACCCTCTGCCTATCTCATACAAACCAACACCAGTTAAAATTGCCTTTTATTATAAGTAACACATTTCAGATTGGAAGTTTGCCAATCTCTCTTCATGCTAGGAAGAATTATACAGGATTCTTATGAAACTTTATAAACATACATTAAAAAATTAAACATGTTTAATAAATTGACAATTTCAAAATAATAATACCATGGAATCCTGATAACTTGATATCTCATTAATGAACTTACCCAGCTAATGAAAATTTGCATAAATGTAATCTTTGTTTTTTACCCTTGTAATCAAAAATGTATCAGGAATGGTTCAATAAAACACAAGATTTTAATTTATTTATCAAAATTTGTTTTGTTTCCTTCAAAGTAATCCCTTTTCACTACAATACACTTATGCCTATGTTTTTTCCAATTCTTGAAATATGTTTTAAAGTCATTTTTGTGAAACACCTTCTAGACTGACAGAAAATTTTGTATTATGGAATTAATTGACTCAAAAATGGTGACCACAAAGTGAAATTTTAGCCAAGGAAACAGGAAAAAGTTACATAGTGCCATATTAAGTGAACACAAAGCTTGCAGAACAGTATTTGTTGAATTTTTGGCCAAAAATTCACAAACAGGAGCATTGTTGTGGTGTAAAAAATTTATGAGTTTCCTCACCACAAATTGGGTCATTTTCTACAAATTTCATCATACAAACAATGCAGAATGTCCAAATAATATTCTTTGTTGACAGTTTGGCCAGTTGGAAAGAATTCATGATGCACAATACCACAACAATCAAAGATAAACCGGAAATACAAATTAACAGGATCTGGATAAACAAAGTTCCACTTTAATTATTTAGCCTTAATAGCCTAATAAAGGAATTCAACTGTTCACTTGATATTTGAAGCAATTATCAGGGAACCTATTCTGAGCTCTTCCGATAAATCAACGCGAGCAATACACGGGACATTTGATAAGTCCCCTTAGCGAAAGGCAGCTAATGAACCTTAGACAAATTGCTATTCTGTGCTCCACATTATGTGGGTTTCGCTACGGGTAGTCAGTTGAGATGCGTCTGGGTTCCATGCTATCAATAGCTATTACACTTTAACCAATCACAGTTTAGTTAACATTGTATTTTTGTCACGTGACTACAACCCACCATTTTCTAAGCAAAGCACGTGGTTTTAGCATTGTCGTGTACCAGTGCTAGTGAAGTAGTTTTGTTTTGAAATGTTGAAGAAAGGCCAACGAAGCCAGCAAACTACAAGTCGCCAGTTTGAGATGCTCGTTAATTTTATAGAAGGCAACCCTAAATTAATGTCAGGGAAGTTAGATGCTTCCTTTACCATAAAAGATCGCCAGAAATTGTGGCAAGAAATAGCCAACCGCCTGAATTCCAACAGAGTCGGCTAACAAAAAGACCCAGAAAGATGATGCAAAGTAACTGATAACTTTGAATATAAATATATGATTATCATTTTAATTTATACATATGCAAATGAAACCTATTTCAGAAATAATGTTCATGCTATGGTTACTTACTTTAAATTTTAATAAGAAAGCAATTATTCATACAATATTCATAAATGTTAAGGTAATTATTTTTAAACAACACAACATAGTTTATTAACTCTCTAATTGCTCATGAAGTAAAATCGTTCTTACACCAAAAGATGCTGTGTTGTTTACACTTTCGTTACATTCCTAATGGCAGCTTGAAAGTGATTGATAACAAAAGTTTAGTTATCGCACGTGGCTATTGGAACCAAAAATGAAACGTACGGCTTGGAATAGCATTTTCACAGTTGATTAAACACAAATCACGTGGTTCCGACAGAAACCAGTTTTTATCATACTCATTAGCTTAATGATACTACTCAGAATAGGTCCCCAGATTAGTTGCATTTATTATTTACTTAACTAAGGGAATTAACATTACAACTACAGCTTTTTAAATGAAATTGATTTTTGAAATTTACAATTCCTATACAGTGTTATAAAATTAATATTTCGTAAAAATATTTTTCCACTTTTAATTGACTCATATTGATCTTTGTTATACAGATATCTGCCTTATCAGAGTACAAAATCTTTGGTTGCCCAGTTGCTATTGGCAACTATAAATTTTAATCTGGTGACAACATCAGATTAATTTCATTTAGAGTCAGTTGCATGTGTAGTTAACCTCAAAGTTAAATAAATGCACTTTAATCTGTAGAATTACTCATAACATATTGCATGAGTATAATTTTTTGGATAAAATGCTGGCTAGATTAATCTGATGATTTAGAATAGTTAAAATTTATTCTGTAGATTAGCAAAGAAACAAAATGATCAACTAGCCCTGTTTCCAATGTGAATAAACTTTATTTTTTAAATATTTTTTTTTTATCTGAATATTGGAAAAATATTTTTTCCAACATTTCCAAAGAAACATAATTAATTACTTAAAGCAAAATTTTAAATAATGATGAAGATTATTTTTATGTAATGATTATTATTTACTTACCTCGTGCTGCAGCACCTGAAAACATTGGAATCCATAAAGGTTTTTGAGTTGCATTAATCTTTTTTGAAATTCTTTCTTGAAGTTGATCATATACAGTAAAATATACAACTGTTGCTGGAACTGCCATTATTCTAAAAATTTAAATATTTATTTCTTGAATATCTAGATCTCTCTATTAATTATAAAATAAATAATACTGCATTTCTTCAATTCTAAGAAATTCTATAAGTTTGAAATTGAATTTTAAGATTTCTTTATGGAAAAACTAATAAATCTTTAAACTTCAAATAATCAATTTTACTAAATTTTGTTGAGTAATAAGTAAAGCAATACAAATATTGGATTGGGGCATAAATAATCATTTTTTGTGAGCATTGTTTTCATGCTATAGCATTACTTGTATATACACCAGTCAGTTCAAATGCTACATAAGGATTTTAATAACAATATTCAAAAGTTTTTCATATTAAAAAACTTTTGAATATTGTTAAAAAAGTTAAGTTATTAGTGTCAAAATGAGCTTGGAAAAACATATACAGCATGTAATGTTTTATGAATTTAGAAAAGGTAACACTGCAGTTATGGCAATGAACATTGTGTAATATGCATGGCTATGAAGCCTTAAATGTCAAAAAATATCAGCACTATTCAAAAGACCTATGGAGATTTCAAACTTAAGCCATATTCTGGACAACCTTTTACCTTAGAAAATGCTGAAATTGCTCCTTCCAGGAATTGGAAAACCTTTAGAAAAACATTTATATTTCACAAACAAGAAAGTGTTATTTTGTTACCTGACAATTCTCATCTCTACCCAACAAAAATTGAGAGAGTTTATTTGGAAAGTTCTCCCTCATCGCCCTTATAGTTTTAATTGACACCTACAGATTACCACATCTTCCAATCCCTTAAAAACAGTCTTGTCTTTATGGAAAAACTTTTAATTCAAAAAAAGCTATCCAGAAACACACAGCAGGGACAGTCACAAAGAATCACATTTTCCACACTAATGCTCTTCTTTCATTCTCTCTGCTGCCACCATTCTTTGTTAACTTTTAAACTCAACAGATAATAATCCAATCATTCAGTCATTTGAAAGACCACTATCAGAGTCAAGTCATCAGAGTGCACTCTGAATTATTTGAGTATTAAATAAGTGATAGTTACTGAGAAATTTGTTAATACTAATGTAAGTTTCATATAGATTTCATTTCATCTACTAACCAAAAACCTTACTTTCCCACCAGCTGAAGTTTAATTTTTCACATAGATATGGACAAATGTTTTTGAGCTAATTATAGGTCTTAATGATCAATTTGCTGACGATCATGCCAAAATATTATATTGTAAAAAAGGGAAGGCACTGAGGTCGGCGTTATGTGTGTACATAACACACATAACGCCGACCTCAGTGCCTTCCCTTTTTTACAATATAATTATAGGTCTGCTTCTGGTCTTACTTTCCATTGTATGAAGTTCAAAATTTCACCATCATTCATTCCAAACTTTGAAATTTTATACCATTCTTCTTCAAGTTCCAAAATAAAATGAAAAATTTTAAGACCTAAAGCATACCTATACTTAGGTCAAAAATTTTTGTCCATGTCTATGTGAAAGATTAAAGTACTGTTGCTCCTGCTGGTGTGAAAATAAGATTTTAGGTGAGCAGATTAAACAATCCAGCTTATGGAAGTAGTTGATGATACAGATTTCATCAGGTTTACACAAAAATAATAACAAGCATAATTTTACATATATGTTCTAAAATTATATCACGAGAAGAAAAAAAATCCTAAATAAATGGAACATTCCACTAACTCATGGTTCACAGATTCCTTGTTGTCATCAATAACAGTTGTTTTGTTTTAAGAAATATGAACAAATTCAGCATGCTCAGAAAGTAATCTGTAACCAAAATAAACAGAATAGTGTGCTCCAATTTCTAAAGTAAATGTATTTAAGGCATACTGAATCTTTAATTGCACTCAGATTGTAAAAGTAAAGTCAGCTTAAGTATTTTAAAAATGCTCATCTTTATTTCTTCTCCATTTCCTGCATTATGGTGTCTGTATACCAACTCTGTTACAGATTAAGGTAAACACAATGATAAAAGTGCTTCTAATCAGCTGCATTAAATATGCATCAAATTCCACTTCTATGTAGGCATACAGTTTCTGAAATTCAATATTAAAGATGGCAATATCAGGACAAAAAAGCAAAAAACAAACATCAGCATAATGCATAGACACTGCAGAGATGTTCCAGAATGAAGGCAACAGCAAGTTACAGGAAAGATCTGTTGAAAATCAGGCATGCAGAGACAACCACTATCACTCTGTAGTGTCCTATTTGTAGTAAAAATATTACAGTATAAGCAAACATTAAAACTAACAAGAAGAATGAGAACTACAATTCTGAGATGCTACTAGATGATAATTAAACAACAAGAAGTAAAGAAAATCTCATGAAAGGGAATACACAGAAGCTAAAGACTTTATTGCAATTTCTAGTTGTGTAATTTCCGCATTACAATGCTTTCAGAGACTGAAAGCTTTTGCTGGAAAGAAGCTTCAAACTTCTGTTACTTGTATAGTGTTAAATGGTATAGATCAGTGGTTCTCAACTTTTTTGTTGATGTACCCCATTAGCCTACTAGTTATTTTTCAAGTACCCCATATATTTTTGTATGTACAGGGTTCCTACTCAAATTTTTGTTTTGAATTCCCTGACTTTCCCTGACCAACTTTGTCCAAATTCCCTGACCCTCACATTTTTTAGTGTGGAATATCGACATAATAAAACAGNAATAGAGATTATTATTGTGTACTTACAATGTAATGGCTGCGAATTTATAACGTGCAGAACAATGAATCTTTCAATTTTTGTAACAAACATAATGTCTAAATTTGCTAAATATCAAGTAATGCATACATGCATGGTGAGGGTGTGATCCAAGCCTCGTTATTCCTAATAGCAGTAGTCCAGTAAAAACACAAAAAGCCCAAATCTCATTGAGCAATAGTTATAAAACAGAATAAAAAATTTTTTCTATTCTAAAATTAATGCTCGGTTAAACCGTAATTTTACTAGACTACAGGTTCACTCGGCACTAACGGCACAAATAGACAGGCAAATCAAATGGATAAACAAATTGTTTGGACTGTTAAAAGGGAAATCAGTGTTCATACCGGGATATTTTAAAGCAAGTTTTTGTCGTTTCTTGTTTCTTGTGTTAATAATTTACAGCAAATTGATTAACATACGTCATTTTATAATGAAAATTAGATGTACCCCTTCGATTTACGCTCGTACCACTAGGGGTACATGTACCCCCAGTTGAGAACCACTGGTATAGATATTAATGTAAAATGCAATGACGTCACTACTGCAGATAACTAAGTCTCAATATTTTATTTTGCTAATGGAAAACATTCAAACATAATTTGAAGAAACTGACATCATTGCTAACTTTTCCATATTTGCATCTTAGATTTGAATAAATACAGTATATATGAAAATAAATATTTTGAATAAAGCAACTGACTTTCTTCTGACTATGCTAGAAAGAAAAAAATTAAATAACTTTTCATTAAAACATTAAATTAAAATAAAATTCTGATTTTCAGTGTTGAGTTATACTAAAGCCTGGTACTCACATGTGGAAACAAATGACAGAAACGGCTGCCATTCCGTTGTCTTTCCGTGCCACGAGTACTCACATACGGAAATTACTCTACAATTGAAAAGTTCCATCTGCCAGCCATAAATATAAACAAGCTAGTACTGTAGGTAGGCCACATGCCAGTAGTTGAAAATGGAGTCTACCAGGATTGCTTTGTTATATCAATTAAACAATTAAAGGTAAACAATTTAAGTTTACCTTTGATCTTATGAAAAAAAAAAAACTCAAAAACGAATAATTTGATAAGAAAAATATTCTAAATCGTCGAAAGTTAGGAATATCAAATACTTTCGACACCGAATTACGATTACTTTATTTATGATTTCCAATACTTTATGCAGTAAGTCTATTTGACATTAATATTTAAATCGGATAATAATATAGCATATAAATGAAATATATTAGTATATTAGTGTACAAATAAAGCTTTTTAGCTTGCCGACCACCATAGTTTGAATGCTATCGTCCCATATGGTCTTTATGACAATATTGCTAAACGGCATTCCTATTGGTCTAATTTTTGCCATTCCACTTTCCACAACAGCAAAAGTTTAAAATTTTCAACTTTGTTTTCCATCGGCTTTGACGGCAAAAGTGATGTCATTTTGCCATTCTGTCAACAGTTTCCGTTGCCACATGTAAGAGCCAGGCGTAACTTAATGCTCCAAGTCAGAATTTTATTTTATTTATCCTCTTTGATGTAGAGCACAATTTAAATTCTCATATAAGGCATTGAAAAAAAAAAAATAATTGAATTTAACACTATTGTATTTAGCAGACATGATATTATGTAATGATATAAATATGTATAAATTTTATCAGCTTACAGAGTAGGCGGAAGTCCACTCCACAATGAAGGGATTCCTTCTGATCTTGCTATTTTGATAAATGCATCCTGAAATAAAACGAAATAAATTTAACAATTTATTCTATTTTGTTTTCAATAATTTGATATTAGTAATTATAAATGTAATGTGCAACATATGATATTTATTCATATACAATAAAATTAATAATTTGTGCAAGTAACAAATAAAAACTGATCATGGTAAAAATATCACTAAACTTATTAAAAATATTACAGAAAAAAACTACTATTTTTCAAAACATGTTTTCAATTTTAGATGTAGTCATTCTGATATCACATAAGATTAATTAGAATAAAGTTGTCAATTGAGCTGCTCCGTGATGAAAACAAGCTTAAGCAATGGTGTCTTCAAATGGTGCACACTCGGTAAGTATTCCTACAATTTTTTGTTTATAGCATATTTTATATGGATTATTCCCAAAAAAATTATACGTGTTTTGGAAATGTTCAAGTCAAATTAGTCTAGAATCGATTAATATTACAGAAGAAAATCTTTCAAACAGCTGTACCCCCTAAACTGCACAAGTGCTGGGCTGTGAACAGCTCATATATTTGTAAAATCTAAGTGACTCGTACAACACGGAATGTATCTACCATGTTATGGGGGGTCTAATTGTACTGGAAATGATACTAATGTCACTTAACATGTTTTGCTTCATAGCTTCTCAATTATATTTCGAACCTAATGTGCAATTCATTTCTCAGCTTCTCAAAAAGTTCACATTAAAACAGAATAAATACAGTAACATCTTTCAAAAAGGAACTTTTGATGACATTTTCCAAAAAATTGATTCATGTCTACTCCCTTGCTGCACTGACTAGTTATTTATTAAATTTTAATTTTTCCTGACATTAATTTTTGTTAATATGTATGGTTCATTAAATAAATAAAAATCAGTTTACAAACTATTAATTTCTTTTTAACTAAAAAAGCCCTTCAAGACTTCTATAGAAAGACAACTTTGTGAATAAAAGGAGTCAATAATACTTCATAATCATTTAATTAATTTCTTTTACTATTCAGTTCTTTTTTTATTACTACCATTTCTTATTTTTTGAGAAATTAATTATGAAAAAAAAGACGTAACTACTTACAGCAGTTCCAGTAAAATGATGAGATCTTAGCCGATTAGACTGTTGACCAATATATCCTACTGAGCTATTTTGAACAGGCTGTCCAATGCAACATATATCTTCTATTATTCGATCACAATAGATATAACACTTATTTTTCATGAATTCTTTTTGTTGAGTTTGCAATCTTATTTTAACAACATCTAACGGAGTAACTGAAAAAAATTTTAAGATTGGAATAATTGCACTTAATTATTATACTATTACTTTTCTTATTTATGTATGGTTTAAAAAGTATTATGAACTAAGCAATAAGTTATTAACTAATGATTTATGTAAAAAAACATTTGCAAAAGAGAAAAAATTTTATTTTTAATTTAACATAATGCATTAACAAAAATTATTTTTTAACATTCATTTTTTCATGATTAAAAACTTATCAAATTTTTCAAAATTTACATTATTATTCTTTAAATTTCAAGTTCAGATTTTTTTAAAACGAATGTGATTACTTTATAAATTTTAATGAATTAAGTTTTAATTTAAATATTAAACAATAGAATTATCAAAATTATTGCATTAATAAATTACTTTCAAAATTAATTACGTATTTTCTGATAATTTACAATGCAATTTTATTATAAATAAAAATTTCTGCAATAAAGAAAATAATTACAGTATATCACTTAAGTCTATATTCACAATCTGGAATTAAAGTTGGAAGTTAACTGATAACATTTATATACCAAAAGTAAAGCAATTGGTAACTGCTTAATTCACATCCTTACAAGGTTTATCAACATAGAAATGATTATACTCACTTCATTCAGTTACCACTAAGACACCATATTTACATGTATAGGCTGTACTTTTTTCCTCAATTTTTTTACCAAAATTAGGGTGCACTGTATACTTGAAATAATGAATAATTTTAAAACAATTTAAAATTAGATAGGTGTCAGGAAGTGACTGTGCCATTGAAGTTCAATGCTGAATCATGAGCTCATGTCATGGCATGACATGATGCCATGAAACATCTGCCTAGCTGTAACTTCATTTAAATTCTTTTTGGGAATTTTCATACTTTGAACAATCCTCCAGGTTTTGAACTGAATCATTTCAACAGACACACAAAATCTATTTGCCCAAATTTCATGGATATATCACAACAAATTTGCTTCCAGGTTGGGATATTTTTGCTATATTTCACACAAAACAATTGCCAGTTTTATGATCTTTTCTCAAGAACATCCTTTATTTGAATCCATTGCCACACATTTTTCATCTATATCAAACTTTTTTCCTCACTCTTGATTTCCATTTTCTAGTGCATAATGCACCACTTGCAATTTAAACTTTCCTGTGTAACTCCCTCTCACTGTTTAACATGCACTCAACAATAAGCATTAATCACCACTTCATCTCTGGAGTTTGCGATGTTGCCATATTTCTGTATACCCACATCTCTATTCTCAACCATTAGCAGAATTTTGAGATTTTTTATTTCTTCCAGGTATATCATTTCAGAAGCAGGTAACCCACCTTCAATTGCCATATATTATCAGACTATTACATTTCACTATACCTTTAAAATGCAGTCTACTTTTGTCAGTTCTCTAACGTTTTCGGTCTAATTTATAGACCTTCTTCAGGATTGCTACATTTCACTATACCTTTAAAATGCAGTCTACTTTTGTCAGTTCTCTAACGTTTTCGGTCTAATTTATAGACCTTCTTCAGGATTGATGTAAAATATTTTAAAAATTTGAACTTTCTCAACAGTAATTCGAACCACGCACGTTCTATAATCTTCAGATATTCGATCGCGCATGCCCATTAGCTCTTTATAAAGTAGACTGCATTTTAAAGGTATAGTGAAATGTAGTAATTAATTAATGCAGTTAGAGATTTAGTAATTATCAGACTATAATTTGGCAATTGAAGGTGGGTTATTGCAATGTATCAGGTGTAGTAAAGTCCCGATACATTTATATTCAGAAGCAGGGTGTAACTTATACATGCATGAAAACAGTATTCAATTTTCTTTTTCCAAATAAATTGATTGGATAACACTAACAATTAAAAAAACATAAATATTCTTACTTATAAACATAACAATCAGTTTTAGCAAAATTATAAGACTCTTACTAAACATTTTGGATAATAAACTAGCAAAAAGAATTAAATTGTAAAAAGAGTATGTTGTTTAAAAAGAATAGCCAGATAAAGAAACAAATTAAAATTGGAGATGGCCAAATTGCAATTATTATAATAGATTGTGTTGTCTCTAAGATTAAATAAAATATCTTGGGCATAACTTGAAAACAGCAAAAATTGAAGAAAGGATGACAGATGAGATTATGATGGCTAAGTTACATGTTGCAATAATCTGAAATGATACATATTAACTGCTTGGATCAAGAGTGACCATTTCACGTATTCAGAAACAAGACATTCATAAACATGACAGGCAACAATACAGTAAAATGGAGATGGTACACAATAGTAATAGCAAAGAGCTCAAAACAAAGTTAACAAACAGTAAAGATTCACAAAGCTGAGTCGCAATAGAAAAGACCAAGAATCATATGTATTTTGTTAAATTGCCACAGAGTAAATGTTTGCAAGTATTTTTCTTAAATTCTTTAAAAATCATAGATTTGCTTACCAAACATTATACCTTTCCATAGCAATAGTGTGGTAATGTTTGCCCTGAAGAACAATTGACAAAATTCTTTAACATCCAGTAACAAAATTTTAATGTAAAAATTGATGAAAAAAATGAATGTAAGAATTTTTTATGTAAAAATTGTAAGATTCAGAACATTCATCAATTTTTAGATTACAATTTCATTACTGGATGTTAAAGGTTTTGTTAATTGTGCTTAGTATAGTAGACCCCTATAAAACAGGTTCATATAATGCAGATTCACATATAATGGCAAAAAAAATTGCAACCATATTTGTATAAACACACTAAAATAAACTTGTAAAATACAGTATAACGTCATCGCCGACTCATGTCGCAACAGGATTGGTCGAATCTAGACCAATAGCAGATATTGCACAAACTGTTGAGTTTAAATGAGCAGCGAACCTACTAAAAACTATTTATTATTTAATGGCCATAAAAATTATATTTATATTAATGATGTCTCCAAAGTTCAGCAAATTTTTCTGCGAAAAATAATTTATCAGGAAACACACACCCATTCGAGCGCCACTCCACAACAAAAACAAGCTTAAGCAATGGCGTCGTTGAACGATGCACACTCGGTAAGTAATCCTACAATTTTTCGTTTATAGCATAGTTTATATGGATTATTCACAAAAAATTATACATGTTTTAGAAATTTTGAGTCAAATTAGTCTAAAATCATTTAATTTTATGGAAGAAAACCTTTCAAACAGCCGTAGTCCATAAACTGCATATGTGACGGGCTGTGATTGGCTCATGTGTTTAAGGACTCATACAACATGAATTTCATAAAAAATGGAATGTATCTACCATATTATAGGGGGGAGGTCGACTGTACTTTGTTCCAGTTATTGAGAAGAAGGTAATTTTGATAACTGTCCTCAAAAACCTTTATCAGTGTCGTGTTCATTACAATATCCACTAACGTTTCGACCTCCACCAAGGTCTTCTTCAGATGCTGACTAAGCGTTGTCTCCCCTTGACCGCTAGAATGATGTCATCTGAGATATAAATATTGCACATATCACATTTCACCCCTCTGCTTGTCCCTGTTTGAATTCCTTGATTAGGTATCTCCATGCCTGCATGATCATCTCTCCATCTTTAAAGTTGATACAGGTGCCCCCAACGTTGGCTTTATAGATCTCCCAGGCCTCCAGGTGACGAATTGATCAATTTGAAATGCCTGTATGATTAATCTGGTGTTTGGGAAGTCTGCCTAAATTTCAGGGTCGCTAATATACACCGTCAAGGCAGTGGGTATGCATGTTATTTTTAATGTCCGATTGATGCTCGCGTAACCATTTTTGTGTTGAGTGCATGGTAGAACCGATATAAAATAAGTTTCTTTGGAATCTATCATCCCTAATGGGAATGGAGTAAACCCCTGGGGCTCTGTTGAGATCTATCGCATCTTTAGCATTGTGCAGCAGGTTGTACATAGTGCCGTTCCTCCTGTATGCGATCTTTGTGTGATTATGGCAAGCACCACTCCTTTAGTAATTCGCGTGCACATTTCCTAGATGTTGACATATGTCTCGGGTGGCAAGATAGAAACGAGCATTTACTGCAAGCCGAACCAAGTTTCGCTCTTCATCTCTGCTAACTCGTCTGACCCCTTCGCTTACAAAATCGTGGCCTTCCAGGCCCTAACCAAATGGGCCTTCACACATCACACAAACGAATGCAACACCCTGACTGAGCTCCACCGCATAGAAAAAATTGCGGTTAAACATGGCTACAGTAAGGGCATGATTCATAGTTTGGCCTGTGTCTGCGCCAACCGTCTTCCCCCACACAGCAGTGCTAGCCCGACTACGCCGGACAGTGGACAGCAGTCCGTTAAGAACAATAGGTGCATGGTCATCCGATTCAACCAACATTTGGACTCTCTATACAAGGAGATTGCTTGTCATAATCAAACAAAGATCACCTGCAGGAGGACCTGCACTATTTATGACCTACTGCGCAATGCTAAAGACATGATAGATGTCAACAGAGCCCGAGGGGTTTACTCCATTCCCATCAGGGATGATAGAATCCAAAGAAACTTACAGTAGACCCCCCTATAATGCTTAGATACGTTCCACGCTAAGCGAATGTTACGTTATATGAATGATTAAATACATGAGCCAATCGCAGCCCGATAGGTGGGAACTTTACGGACTAAGGCTGTTCGAAAGGTTTTCTTATATAAAATTAACCGATTCTAGACTAATTCCACTCAACATTTCCAAAACACGTATAATTTTTTGGGAGTAATCCGTATAAACTATGCTATAAACAAAAAATTATAGGATTACTTACCGAGTGTGTACCGTTCGACTACGCCGTTGCTTAAAGCTGGTTTTCGTCGCGGAACAGCACATGAAACGGCGGCCGCGATTTCTAATAACGAATTTTTCGCAGAAAAATAACTTGACCTTTGGAGACATCATTAATATAAATAATTTTTATGGCCGTTGAATAAGAAGTGTTTCTTTCACAAGAAATGTATAAAATTAGTGCTGTATTAGA